TAATTTTTTTTTATTTTAATCATTGTACCAGCATACTAGCATTTTGAATTAACTTTCTTCATATATTATAATATTACTACTTCTAAAAATACAATTACATTTAAAAAATGAATAATATTCAGATTTAAAAATATATAAATAGACTTATAAATTGCATTTTAATTGAAATATTTTTAATATTATTTTTATTTAAAAAATTTTAATTTTTAATTTCTTTTTTTTTTTAACAAAATCTAACAGTGATGACTATATTTATTTTATTATAAAAATAAAATATAACTTACCCAACCATTTCACATAACTGTTTAAGAGAGACACGACTCCTCGCATGTCCCACACATATGAATATAGATCATATAACAACTCACGATTATTACAATGTGTAAGTCTTTGAAATAATCTATTTACAGAATTGCACATATCATTTAATTTAGCTGCCCGTGTATGCCATTCTTCAATCTAAAATTTTATAATTTGTTATGTATATATATTTAAATTATAGTATATTAATAAAAGAATTGCATACATCAGATTCAGATGCAGTTTGATCCTCTTTTGATTTTCTCATGACGACATGAGCATTACTTTTTAACCAATTAAATTCTTGCAATAATTGAATACCCTGACCACCATGTTCAAATGGTAAATAAAAAAGATCACATAAAAGTGATAGATCTTCTTGCGTCAATCGCTTATCGACATCAATCGAATCCTGTGATTCTTGATCTATATTATCGCCGTTGTCATGATTTTCGTTATCATTTTCAACAATCATTTGAGTACCATTTACAACAGGAGAGGTGCTATCTACTTCTACTTGCATACTACCAGATGCTTCACTACATGTCTGTATAACAAAAAAATTGCATAAATTTCAAAAATTTCTATGCTATTTCTATGCTATTTAAAAAGACTTACAGAAGTATTTTCTACCATAACATCATCCTCTGTTTGAATTTTAACTGCATGTGCTGGGGAATTATTAGGTGTTGTGTTACAATCCATTGGTTCCATGGATGATAAAGTATTTGAATTTGGTACATTTTCCACAATAGTAGAAATTGATGGAATAATAGGTTCACTAACAACAGTTGTTTCAGATACCAAAGAATTCATGACAGGACCAGCAGGAGGTGGCACATAATTATCAGTGGTTGTTACATTTGAGCAAACTTCAGCCAATGCTTGAAGATGATTGGAATTATTTACTGGAGTAGGCGTTGCGGGGACGGTAGTAGTAGTCGTCGTTGACGTAAGACTCATACATGTATTCACAGATGGAATTATTGGGATTGGTATTGTTGGAGCAACGCATGGTTGTGGTTTTGCTATAACACCCCATGCGTTTCGTTTTTTGTTAAATTCCACTAACCAATCGTTAATGGCATTTTTCAAAGCATGTCGAGGATGATATATATTCGGAGACATTGTTGAAGGAACATCTTCACCAAGCACTCCATCTTCCGTTTCAGTCTCTAATTTTATATCAGCTGATACAGTATCATCTATAAAACATATAACAAGATATAATAAAATAATACAAATTCATGTGTTTTTTAATCAAAAACAATTGATACTTACTTAAGCTTAAATCTCTTTTGCCATCAACATTACATCTACTCCATTGAGCTAATGTGTGAATTGCTATAAAATTTGCTCCATATTCACAATTAGGATTAGTTAAAACACCTCTCAGTTTAGGTATTAAATCAGGAGATCTACCAGAATATGGCCCTAAGAATACACGCTTCTGATCATAATCATTAGCATGTAAATTATCCCATATAACTGGTGGCCTTCTCAAAACTTCTGTAATTTCTTCAATAGATTCAACAGTTAGAAGTCTAGATATTACTTTAGGACCAGTCCACATTATATCAATTTCTTGGGCCAATTTACTACCAAGTGTATTTAAATATTCTGATGATGCTACATTTGGCATTGCTCTAGTTGCACAATATTGTGTTGGACACAATAGAAATCTGGGTTGACCAAGATGATGGAAAATATCATTTGTAACAGAAACCTATAAAAAGATTATTCAAATTAATTAGAAATAATATATTTATAATATGTTATAATATATTAATTATTTTCTTAATACATACTTGTGCATGAGCAAAAGATTGAAATACTTCTTTATCTGCTTCACTCATTTCTGGTTCTATATCATCAAATAATAATGCAAATGCAGTACAACCAAATTGACTAACTTGCTCTAATTTCCTTTTTAATACAGTAACTTCTTTTACACTTGAATATGTGATATCTAAGCCTGGTGATAATGCATAATAAAATGTAATGCCACATTCTCTTGCAGCTGTTATTAATCCTGTTAAATGTTCAGCTTCTTCTACTGTATATAAATCTCTCCAATATGCACGATGCTTATAATCATCTTTTGGAGCATATAAATATGAATCCATTCCCCATTTTTTTAATCTGAAAATTAATAAATGAAAAGACTTGAAATGATATTATAAATATCATTTTAAAAATTAAAAAAAAACTGATTTAATATATATACTTTTGAAATAAATCCTTTCTTTGTTCTGTGGTCCAAGGCCGCCCATAAAATCCTAAAATATAATTATTATATTAAAAAATATATTTTATTCAAACAATAAGAACTACTGTAATGAATAATACATTCCAATCATTCCCCCTCCTACGCAAAGCCATCACAAACGGTGACTACAATATGTATTACATAGAATAGAATAGCCATTTATATACCTTCGACAACACCGCAAATAAAATTATCGTTTTTCGTATTTATATTTGCGGCCCCATTTGTCTCCGCCATTGCGGATTACAAGAGGCACAATTGTTAGTATAGAACTACAAAAATGGCTATAGTAGTAGTTCGATGCAAAATGTTCTCGTTTCTTGAAAGAATGGAAAAAGTAATCGTTGCAAATACTATCTTCTTTGCAACACAATCCTATTCCACGAACGTCACGACAGCATTACTCGTTTTCTTCAGGAGAAAAAAAGTTTACTCGGAACGATACAATTCCGATATAATAAAAACTCCGTCTCTAGTATTTCTGACAGACTGCACCCGCTGTCTGATCGATACTAAACGATTTCTCGATCCATCGACTATACGCAGAATGATTAACGGAAAGCTCTGTTGGATAGTGGCGACATCTGAAACTTAAATCAAGATTACGTGTTCGAACGTGCAAGACCTTCGTTTACTTTGTGAAATTTTTGTGTTTATTAAAAGAATAGTATCAGTTTTATTGTATATTCAAAATTATTGCAATCTTTGAGTGTAAATATAAGTAAGATAATATTAAGTAAATATAATAATAAGATAATCGATAATAAAAAAATATAATTTTATGTATTTTTTATGTGTAAAAGCATTCTTTATTCTTGCTTATAAATAATTCTAAACTAAAATTAGAAAATTTATTATTATTCATGATAAATATTTATTTTAAAGAAAATATTTCTAAAATAATAAAGATTATAAATCGCAATCAGATTATATGTATTTATTAATTAAGTTAATATGTTTTTTTATAGATGAAAAATTTAAAAAAAAAAGAACATAAAAAAATTTCAGTGAGCTTGCGAATTTGTTGCGAAAAGATGTCACAACAAATACTTCGTGTGAACGTGTCGCAACAGATACATCAATGTTATCGTGTTCGAATTTTCAAAAATCTGTATGATTTCAAAATTAAAAAAGATATATATCAAAATAAGGTAAGCAATATGAAAATTGTATTTATTTTTAGATTTCACATTTTTATTTTTGGATGATCTCTTATTTTTTTATTACGTTATTAAATTATACTATAACAAAAAACAAATAAATAATATAATTTATTATCTACACTTCGTGATATAAATTTATTAATTTTTTAATTATTAAAAAAAGAAAAAATTACAATTATAAAAATGGCAAAGATCTTATATATTTTATAATTTTATGTAAATAAATCAACTTATAGTTAAAATAATTAACACATTATATAATTAATATTATTATAGATAATATACTATGGTATTTCAATTTTTGTATAGGTAAAATTTATATTTGTTCTCACTTTTTATCTATATGAAATATAAATTTACTAATGAAAACATAAGAATATTTTTATATTAATTGTAAATCAAACTTACAAGAGAACGTATGAAATTTCTCCTATATATTCATACTGGTTTTATCAGAGACATCGATTAAACGTAGTCAAGGTATATGTGATTTCGGTATCGTATAACTTTAGTGTTAGTGCTGCAGGAAACGCCACATAAAGCATCCTGCAATACTCCTTTATACACGCAACGAATGTGTGTATAAGTATTCAACAGTATTCAACAGATAATAATATCATAGATAGAAGTATTCTTAAAAAAGATTAATTGTAAAAATATAATTATGAAAAGATATATTTTTACATTGTTGCTCTTTAATTAGTATTTAATAGTAATGATAGAAATTTAATAGTAATATTTCTAATGTTATTTAAATAGGTTACTAAATATTAATTAAAATCAAATTTTAAGCATATATATATGCTTATTTTTATAGTAAAAAATAGAAACAGATTAATATAATGATTATAAATATTCAAATTCTGTTCGATTATATTATATATATTTTGATATATGTAGAAATGATACATGCGCTGTTCGGTATTTTTTAAATTAGTTTCTCGAGTTTTTATCGAATGTAATCATTTGAAAATTTGTTTCAAAGAAAGCATAAGTTAGAAAAATATATGAATATTTATTAGAATTATAAACAAAACGTGACATTTATATGTATGAAAATTAAATTTTTATATTTCTTTCTCGTCCTCTGATAAGAAAATATAATTCCTATAATAAATCAAAATATTTTTTTCGACAAACTTCTAATGAATTGTGTATCAAAGATTTACATAAAATATTTGATAGAAGTGTTCATAACATTCTAACCATGGAAAAAATATCAGATGGCAAGAAGGAACAACGTGCAATTCTGTCCGAAAAATGGTACGTGATATATAGTTTATAGGTTAGCGCATGCGTGTTAGGTTGAAATGGAAGGGTCATACAAATCGTTTACCACAAACACCGCGAGAAGGCGCGATGATCGTACCTCTAAAGAGGGGTGTAGTTTTTTTTCGAACAAATGGTGGGGGTGTCGAAGGGGCGGGTATGGCCCGTGGTCGTAACAACGGAACCGTATCAGTGTGAGGCCGGCTATCAGCCGCCTAACATCGAGGTTGGGGTTACGCTTGTATACGTAACGCGGCTGCCGCAGGCACCCACACACATATACTTGCGACACCCGTGCACGGATTCTCGCGGATTCTCTTGTCGTGGGCTAGGCGAGCAGAGGGATCTGCGAACTGTTCACGCGGGGAATCCTTTTCGGCTGTCAACGGGTGGGCAGCCTTTCTCAATGCAGTATGCGTCATAATCGATAAGGGCAGAAGCGGGGCGCGTGTATGGCATCGTCTTAAAGGAAACGTCGCGCCCTTTGTCGAAATGAATGAAAGTCGCGAGAAAGGAACAGAGAGAAAGAGAGGGAGAGAAAGAGAAAGAGAGTGTGCGATTGGGCGAGGTGAGTGCGAGGATGTGTGGAAGGGAAGGAGAGACAGGGAAGCATAAGGAATCGTAGGTGTCGAGGTTAAGGGAAACCGTGACTAAAGGACGACAAGGGGTGGGGGATAAGACGAAGTTCGCGCGCGCGTGTGTCTCGTAACAGACAAAAAAATAAAGAAAAAAACAATCACAGTACAACGACACATCGTGGACATTGGGATTGCTCGATTCTTCGTAACGAGTCTCTTTTCATTTGACTGTCGCAGAGAAGGATCAACGGTGCGCCATACGTCGAAACGAACAACCGGCCTCCGGAAGAATGGAGTGTGGACAACGTAGAAAGTAAAAACTATAGACAGGACGATTTAAAAAGAAACAGAGACAGAGATAAAGAAAGAAAAGGAAAAACAATAAGAGAGAAAGAAAGAGAAAAGAACTGGTGGTATCATCGTCGGTAAGGAAACTGCGTAACATAAACGGGTCACGCGAGTAAGCCGTGTTATTGGTGTCCCGTGCTTCTAGGGGGAAATATCGAGAAGCGGTGAGTGCGGTATCGAGAGTAATTAAGCAGTCGCGGGATTATTCGGTAATAATGGCTGATCGCGATTGATTGAGGGAGACAGGACAAGTATGTGCACGGCCACTGGTGTACATTTTGGTTACATTTAGCCGAATAACGCGATAGAACGGAATAAAGATAAAGAAAAAAGAGAGGGTAAACGAAAATAGATACAGAAGAGAGAGTGAAAGAGAGAGAGAGAGAGAGAGAGAGAGAGAGAGAGAGAGAGAGAGAGAGAGAGAGAGAG